TAAATGAATCTATAACAATAAAACCAAAGCACAGATCAACTTATCAATATAGTCAACTGAACTAAATTATTAGCCAATTTAGTTATAGTCTTATTATCATTTTTATTAAACAATTTGTTTATTGTCTCATTAGCTACTTAGTTATTAGACATTTTGGCTAGTTTAAATACTGATTGAAAAACAATAGTATTATTTATTTACAAAACTAAATTAAATATTATATAGTTATAATACAGAGATTAACTTTTGCTCTAGTATTTAGTTAATAAATCAATCACCTTGCGATTATATTACTATATACATAAAATTCAAAAAAATGATAATTATTAAATATGAATATAATTAAAATTATTGTATCTTACCAACTATTCACTACTAAATAATTGTTAAATTATATAAAAGCAACTAATTTTTAAAGCTATAATATTATAAATTGTAAATTGTAATCATAAAATTGAAAGTAATTGATCTTTTTTTTTTATTATTTAACATGCTAAAATTATCAAAACAAAAATTTTATTTAAAAAACATCTTACAAGCTCAACATGCTCGTAAAGATGAGATTCAACAAATTTAAAACATTATACCTTAAATTAATTCTGAATTTCTTTCAAAAATATGTAATGTTATTACCAATATTATAAATCATACAAAAGAAGAAGAGGTATTTGATACTATTCATAACATATCAAGTCACAAAAAAAGAATGCATTAAAGTTATTTAAATTAATACGATATCAAAAAGAAAAACATAAAAATAAAATTATTTCAGTTTATTTTTAAAAGAAAACCTTTGAATATATCACAGATAATCATAAAAATCAGGTTGAATCTTTAAAAGCTAGTAATGAAAAACTAAAATCAGTAAACCAAAAACTATCAAAAAATAACCAAAATTTAATACGTAAAGTTCAGTTCACAAGCACTTCAAATTGTCATATCAAAAATAAAGTAAAAAAGTGAATTTCAACTATTAGATCATTAATATATAAGCAAAAACAAATATCTAATAAAGAATTCAAGCAGCAAGTTAAAGAATTGTTTAAAACAAACAATCATGAATATTCACCCAAAATGGTTTGTCTTTTAACAAAAATTTCATAGATCAGACAAACCTTATTAAATGCTGCCGTAGAATTATTACATCTTGTTTATAAATTTTTAATTAGGAAATCTCTACAAAAATGGTTATCAGTATCTATATTAAGTATCTGGCACCAAGAAGTTTCACAAATTAAAACTGAATTTGCAATAAAACAAATTACTCAATGCTTAACATTTGGAGTTCTTATTGATGAGTCAACCTGTAGAGAAACTAAAACTTTGTTATATGCATAATGTTCTGGAATAATAGTAAAAATATACCATTAGTTGTTATAACAAATCTTTCAGATTTAAAAAATTATAACAGCAAATCAGTAGCAGATAATGTTTTCAATACAATTATAAACCATGGGCTTAATCCAAAAAAATATCAGGCTTGGGTAACTGACAATACGGCGTACATGTCTGATAACCAAAAAGGTGCAATAATTTAATTTAATAAAAAAGCCAATATGAATACAATAAGAATTGGTTGTGGACTGCATATAATGCATATAGTCCTAACACATTTTGAGGAAGAAGCTTTTGAAAAATTACCTTCTTCGATCAGATTCTCCAGGAAGTTATAACCATTTAATTTGCTATATCTATCATAGTACCTACATGATGGGTATAATGTAAGTAACAAAAATAAATCTCTTAACATAAAATCAGAATAGATAAGGCAATTGTATAATAAGTTATTAGAATACAATTTTTCACAGTACCAATTGCCAATTAGAGGACGTTGAGGCTATGAATTACATGCTGCTAGACAATATTTAGAAAGGCATGAAGCACATATAGAATTTACTAATTGGTTCATCCAAACACTCAAAAATAACTATAATACATCAGAATTATATCTTTCTGATTAGCAATTATTTCAAGATTGGCTTCTAGATAAAAAACTAAACATTTAAATACAGTGTCTAGTTAAATTTGAAGAGTATTTGTATGAGCTACTAATGCAATTCATGGTTGAAAAAGACCCAATACCTCATATCCAATTAGATAATCATCTAATTCAACTTTTACCAGGTTGTCGTGCTCATGAGATGCCTGATAAAGTAAATGAGTGAATTGATTATTTAGATGATTTTAAAGAAAATTTTGACTTATTTTTTGGAAAAGAATTATTAATAGCATTAGAATCTTTAAGTAATGAAGATTTTAGTGAGCTTTTTGATAGTTTGAAATGAGGAATAAATAAGGCATATAACCATTTTTTAAAATGGATATCTCTGTGGGTACATTTACCATTATCAATTTGCCATTTAGATGGAGAATCCGGCCATGAGTTCGCACAAGCATTCTACCATGTGGTTTTTGAATCATGGCTTTTAGAGCCAACAGAACGTGAAATTAACTTTGCACAACAACTACATAATGATTTTAAAACAATTAATAATATCTTTGGTCTTAAAGAAGAATTATTAAATTGCTTGGAATTTGAGGATAAATTTTAAAAATTTTGTCTTGTTTCAAATTCTAAAATTTGTAAATACCCATTATTATATAAGTTTGTTAAAGAACGAATTTACTTTATTGTAATTCATCAACAACAAATTGAAGGACTTTTTAATAAACTTGACTTGAAAACTCACCCAAATATGATGCAAAACCTGAAACAGTCAAAATTAAAACTTTCGTTCAGAAATATAAGTGAAGAAAATATTGCTTTAGGACTTTTGAACATTTGTGCAAAATGTAAAAGACAATCACAGGAAACTTCACAAGATATAGAAGTAAATGAAATATATGGAGAAGAAGGAGCAACTAAAATATTTTTAGAATTATTTCAAACCTAGAGTCTTATAAAATAAATGTATATTAATAATATGTATAATAAAAAAGTGTAAAAAAAAATTTGTAATGTATCGATATTGATATCAGCTGATATAAATAGGATATATCAATGATAAGTGATCAATGATCAAAAAAAAAAATTTACTAGTTATTTTTACTATGAGACTATATATAAATTTGATTTACATAGTGCATCGAACACCCCAACGGATCGCTACTCTAGACAAAATTATGTATATATACTGTAGAATGAAATTTGCAGATCAAAGAAAAAAAAATCGATGACTTTTGGTTTTTGATTTCTTTAATATTACTTCTGATGACGTATATCAACTAAAGTTATATATTTAATTAGTATACTATTTAAAAAAAAAAAAAATACTAAAGTTCTTTATGCTTTTACTTCATGTTACTTTCAGTAATAAACAATTAATTTTCTAGAATCATGTAATAATTCTTATAAGATTGAATTTGGGCAAAAATTTAATAATACACGATCAAATTTTTTACAACATAATGAATGTGCAAATTATTTTTTTACAAAAGATACTAATCAGATATGTTACAAAATAATAAATCTACTTAACTTCTATTTCTGCAAGAAAATATTTAAAAAACCAGAATCATCGATTTCTTTTTTTTTATATATTTTTTTTGGTCAGCAAATTTCACATAATTTTGCAAACCGCTGTAAAATCACGGGTCAACCGATTTTCCAATTTTAAGAGAATCTCAATGAACGTTAGAAAATGATCTAGAATCTCGGAAATTTTCATCGATCATCACAAAAGTCATGGGATCACATCTTTTAATAATATATGAGCGTTGCTAAATTAGAAATTGAATATTTACGTGAGGTATTAAACGATTATTAGACGATTAATTGTATAAAATTTAAAAAACGGTAAGCGAATAATTTAACGGTTTTTAGTCGGTTATAAAATTTCTTACTGTTTAACCGTATAATATAAATAAATGGAAAGGATGTTAAATGAATAACGGTTTCAATCTCTATACTGAGGCTGAAAACAAAAGTGGACTATGAAATGCTTTTGTAATGACTTAGAGAAAGATACTTTATCTGTTAGTCATTATCTCGAACGAACTGCATGTGTATGTTGTAGGTGGATTTGGAATTCCGTGGATTCTGAATTCACTTAACGTTAAGTAGATTCAGGAATTTGAGTGGATTTTGAATCTCAAAGCAACCTCTGCATTTATTTAAAAATTAATCTTAAAAAAAAAAAAATAGAATTAAAATAAAAAGTAAAATAAATTAGATAAATAAACTAATTGCTTGTCTAAATGTTAAATATGACAAATTTGCCTACATCAAACAAATACATTCAAATATTCATGTATATTTTCACATATATAGTGAATCATAAGAACATGACTTAGAGCTGCAATTCACTTTTTGATATTCACATGCTTGGTTGCTTTATGTGCTACACCAATTACTTTATAAAAATTTTATTATAATGAATTTGCGTTTCTAAATTGATTATATCTTATACGAGGAATTTTGAAAAAATATATTTAGAGCTCATTATAGCGACATCTACCAATTAAACATCGCTTTATGTTAATGAAGTCTCCAATATTTGATCAAAAGTTTCACGAATCATGAACTATATCCAAACCATCACAATCCAAACACTAAGTGTTATCCTAACACAAACAATAAAGAGTCTTTAGGATGATTATTTAATATGACCAGGAGTTTTTAAAATGATTATTTACTAATATCAAAAATACTAATAAAATTATGGTGACTTTTCCGATTATTAATGTTACGTATTTGATGAGCAATACGTATTAAGAAAAATTTACTATAAAAGGTATGTTTTTACCGCAAGATTTTAGGGATTTTCTTTTTAAAGATTATCCTAAAATTAGTTATATCCAGAATAAAGTAATTGTAATTATATATATAGTATATAATACTCGATAACATTCATTCTCATTTAATTAGCTTTATGAAATTAAATGATTTAATTGAAAGAACGAACGAATATCAAATATGGCTATCCCTAGAGAAAATTTATATAAAGTGAAGCCTTCAAAATGGAGAATTTGATGTATCGATCATTAACTATAATATCGAGATGTTTTCAAAAAGAATTCTAAATATTTTACTTATTCTTAACTTGCCCTCTTTCATTATCTCAGCACCACTAGCAATATGTGATGGTTGCGATCATTTATCACTACGTTCACCATCACCTCAAACACCATCTCTTTCAGATGCTACATGTCCAAATTTTGGTGGAACAAACGAACCACTCATAGATTATAACGTTGTGTTAAAAACAGATGCTGCAAATTATGATTCTATTGTAAAAAATCATTTTGAAATGTTAGAAAAATGTCTACAGAGAGAAAGACACAATGTTCATGAATTGGATTTTTCCTCTATTAAAGATAACAATAATGTGATTTTTGATTTCAGTGTAAAAGGAATGATTGCTGGATATACTACCAAATTTACCAAAAGTTTTGTTGAGAATTATTTGTCTAAACTTAATGATGTAGCAATAGTAAATGAAAATAAGGTTATTGAAGATCCATTTGAAAATGAATTTGTTGAACAAGCGCGACTTGTACGAAGAGCTGAAAGATCAACTGCTAAAATGCCTGTAAGTATTGGACAATCTGAGAAACAATTTTTTTTTTTTTTTAATGAAAAGTTTTTATTACCCTTTTTATTTTAGAATCTTGATCGTATTGATCAGGAAAATTATCCTTTGGACTTGAAATATACATATCCCGATAGTGCTGGAGCAGGAGTTGATGTATTTGTACTAGACTCGTGTGTATTAAAGATTACTATATGCAATGCAATTTTTTATGCATTGTAATAATAGTTATTACTTTTTATTTTAGGGGAATTTTTCTTGATCATGAAGAATTTCAAGGTAGACAAGGTAAAACCGTAGTTGAAAAGACTTTTTGTGGAAACATTCTAGCAGATGATAATGGACATGGAACAAATGTTGCCAGTATTGTAGGAGGAAAAACTCTTGGAGTTGCAAATAATGCAAATATAATTGGTGTCAAAATAACAGGGAATGTTTGTCCATTAAATTCACAAAACATTATTAATGGAATCACTTATGTTATGCAACAAAAAGCAAATGATCCTGGAAGGAAGATAATTATAAAGTAAGTTAATATTAATATGAATATACTGTAAAATATTTTATATATGCTGAATTTTTTTTTTTTTTAAAAAAAAAAAGTTTGTCAGCGACTTCAGATGATTCTGCTGTTGGTGAAGCAGCAAGTAAGGCAGTTGAAGCCGGAATTCATTTTGTTGTCGGAGCTGGCAATAGAAATTTAGATGCGTGTGGATTTTACCCAGGTAAAGTTGAAACGGTGGTGACTGTTGCTGCAACTAAGATCACCCCTCTTCCTAATCAACAAGATTGGATCACTGAATTTTCCAACTGGGGAAAATGTGTTACTCTTTTTGCTCCGGGCGGAAATGTTCCAATAGCTGGAATTGGAAACCCTAGTGAAATTACTTCGGGATCAGGGACAAGTCTTTCCGCTCCGCATGTTTCTGGTGCTATTGCTTTGATGCTAGCTAACGGTGATTTAACTCCTGAACAATCTAAAGAGGAACTCGTGAGACTTGCTACTAAAGATAAAATTCAAGGCCTTGACTTTCGTCCAACTGCTAATTTATTGTTGCGTGTCCCTTCACCATAACCAACAATCATTGAATGATAAGGAAAAGAATGTAGTTGTTATTTTATTTTTATCAAAATATTCATTTTTTAAATTCATTTACAAAATTTTAAAAGTATTAGTAATTTAATTTAAATACACTTGTATTACAATAATTCAAACTGAAATTAAGCAGTTTAAATGAATCCATTTTTTTGATCGTGTTGAATAATAGTATTTAATTAAATATTATTGCTGTTTACAAAATGATTGAATTTCATAAGATCAGAGCTTCAACACAGTTTAAAGTTTATTTCATAGATAAGCTGTATTTTTTCTTTTTCATTCGATCAAGAAAGTATTTAATGTCCCATCAGTTGCTCACGTGAGGTCGTTCATAAGAAATGGAGTAAGTCTACATTAAGCGCAGAGCTTGGTCTATTGGTTATAATTATGCTAATTTAATGCAATACTATTGCTATTATACTATTTTATAGTGACGACTTGCCTGAAATAAAATAATATTCTTGGGTCAAAATTTAAACTTAAATTCTTTTTATTTATGATTGCTAATATTCGATTATTTAAATAATATTTTTAAAATCTGAAATCGACTTAAGTTGTTTCTGGATTCGAAATCCACTTAACTGAATCCTGAATCCACAAATTCCGAATCCACCTACAATTCCGAATCCACCTACAGCATGTATACTCAAATAAACAATTAAATAAACCTTCTATATCTATTATTTGTAAAGTTTCGCTTATTTCTAAAACTTTATTTTCTACAGCCAGAGCAATAAGTATGTATTAAAGATAATTAATTATATGTAATCTAATGACAATAATAAGTTATTGAGCGGAGATGATAGTTTAAAGCAGTTTAAACTATTATCTCGGCCAAATATGTACTTGTTATTGGTCATGTTGTTGATGATAACTGATTATTCACTAGGACATTGTGCTTATGACGTGACCGAAGGGCATGTTATAACACGGTGTCTGCTGTAAAGAAATCAGCAATTATCATTAACAACATGACCCAATAACTACATTATTGTACATTTCTGACATAAGCACCTAGCCATTTTCTGCATCTTATTGGGTCATTTCTAAACATGATACACAAATTTTGTTCACCTCTGATAGGAGGTGAACAAAATTTATATATCATATATTAGGATTGACTCAATAACATGCATAAAAATGGCAAGGTACTCACATAAGAAGTGTACAATAAGAGCTTGTTAACATGGCAACAAGTTAAGATGATTAAGGGTCTTAATAGTTGCAATAAGGTTCCATATTGGTACAAGGCTATTGAAGAATTAGTTCTGGAAAGAGCGAAGAACTGAAAGGTAAAATCTCAGTTTCACTTACAAGAAACAAATAACAAAGCTCTTATCTCTAGACTGCTTAACATCTATTTGGATAAAAGAAAAAAAGATTGGGTCTTGTTTGAAAAAAAAGAAGAGCAAATTTCAATTGGATGAGTACAAAAGAAGAAACATAGCAAGATACTGGTTGAATATTAGGTAGAAGCTAATCTAACCAAAAGTGGTACTCTAGTGAAGTATTGTCAAGGCTACGAACTTAACAAGAAGGGCAAAGAGAACAACTGTATGTTAGAACTAAACCAAGACAAAGTATTAGGAAAAATAGAACATGTAACAAGAATCAACAATGGTATATATTTAAAAATCATGCTAGAAACTTACAGTTACTCTAATAAGAAGAAAAGTCATACAATAGAGAGCTCTCTTAAAAGTGTGGGAGATTTAGAAACAGAAAGTATCGAGTATATAAAGAATCTCAATCTGCCAGCAAATATCGCAGCTTTACTACTTGATAGAACAAAAACTAATCTCATATATAAGAGAAATAAATACGTATTTTATATAGATAGCTTATAGTTACCAAACAAGCATAATAAAAAAAAAGAAAACAGAATGGATGTAGGTTGAGTTCAGGTCTCTAAAGATAAAAAAGAGATTTTTTTTATAGGCAAAGTAAGGGTGGAAGATTGGCTCTTATTGACAAGACTGGAACTATTAGCAATGCTATGTACACTATTAACAGTTTTTACAAATGTACCAATTGAAATCAAATCAGATAGTGCAGCAGCAATTTTAGCAGTAAAGAGTATACTTAGAGAAAGAGAGTTTAGTAAAACTCTAAAAAAGCAAAACAGAACACTACTAGACAAAATAATAGAGACAGTTCAATTCAAGCAAATTAATCTAGAACTAGTAAAAGTGAAAGCATATTCAGATATAAAATAGAATGAAAAGACAGACAGTACTGCAAAAGAGAGAGCCTTTCTAGATGAAATGTAGAGGTGGCCAAGTACAATCAGGCTATGTTGAAATTTTGATATAGTTTGGTTAAAGAAGAATATTAAACATCCTCTATATAGCTTTATACTCAAGATAAAAAAAAGGCTTATAGAAAGTGAATAGTATTTGTCTAAAAATTCTGAACCCTTATAACAAATAGAAGAAAGAAATAGTACAATGTGGTTCTTGTGCTGGAAAAGACTAATAGAACTCAGAAGGCAAAGATGCAGGTCACTAATAAGCAGCAGTAAATTGATCATTCGATTGAAGGATCTTTTCTAAGTACTTTCTATACTAAGTATACTATATTAATACAAGCCAGATATTTATGCTTTAGCAAACTGCATACTTTGCAAAGAAGATAAAATTGAAGATATGAATCACCTTTTCGAATGTGAAAACTTAGCAGGGATATAGATAAAGATCGAAAAGTAGGTATTAGCAACAGCCTAGGCTATACTCGAAAAGGAAACAAGATTTAAATACACACTATCAGATCTTAGAAATATAGTATATGGTAATACTCACCAAGTAAATCAAGATGCAAGAAAAAGGCTTACATTAGGTTTGGTTTGGCAGACAGACTTCTTTCGGCTATGCAAGATAAATAAATGATATAGTTCAAGTCGACAGTACTTTAAAGCCTTGGTATATACTATACAGAAGTGTTTCTACAGAGTAGTTTGGAGGAAAAGATATGAAAAGTTTGCAGCATGGGAAAAAAGTATGGAAATAAGCAGAATATCCAAGTTGGAAAAGCAAAGAAGAAAGGCCAAGAAAGTATTAAAGAAGAATACAACAACAGAAGTTTTTGGAAGACCAGTCTTATCAAGTTCAGGTCCATATACTAAGAACCAGACAAATGAGAACTCTCTAAACAAAAGATGTAAGATTTTAGAAACTTCTTCAGATGAAGAAAAAGAAGAATGAAAGAAGTCTTTGCTAACAAGGGTTAAAAAGTATCTAATAGAGGTTTATAAAATAGCAAAAGAGACAATATGGTTACAGATTACAAATTCACTTCCCCTGAGGTGGTGGTCAAAATAAAAGATAGATAACTTAGAATTCAATTTATAGGTAGCTAAGCACCTGGTTTTAGCAAACCTTTAAATATGGTTAGAACTATATATGAGGTTAGTTGGCCAATATCAGTGCGATAACTATACTTAGACACTTTATAAGCAGCCAGGTACTAGTCTAATAGATAGTTAGATAGTTAATTGTATAAATAACAAATGTCTAATAAATTAGTACATAGTTATTAAAGAAAAATAAAAATAAAAATAAAAAGTTAAAAGTATTAAATATTGCACTATATTTAATTAATAATTGAGATTATATAGTACCAGATAGCAAAAAATATCTACTTTTTATATATAAATATAAAAATGCTTATAACTTATAAACAAATAACTTTAAAAAAAATCTGTTTTATAAATTTGTTGCTTTTAGTCTAAGCTACAATTCTGTAAGACAGATTTTTATTTTTGTTATAAATATAAAAAGTTATTAGAGCCTAAAGTTTATATATAATTAAAATTTTGGTATTTAATATATAAAAAATTAGGTTTAACTAATCAAAATCTTGTTGCACAAAAAATAGCCAATCATATTTAAATATAAATCTTAAAATTTAGCACTTTTTAAAAAAATTAGATATTTCTTGCTATCTAGTATTGTATAAGCTATTAATTACAATACAATACAGTTATTATATATTTTAAATAATAAGTATCAATAAGTAGCTAAAATTGCAATAAAGCATGTGTAATAATTTTATTAAGAAATAAATTAAGCTATAACTCACAAGGTAATATAATATTGATATATATTAAAAATACAAAAATATTAAATAAACTCTAATATATAAATATAATACTAATAAATATTAATAAATGCTAACAATAAATAGCAAACAAAAAAATATTTAATGAAATTGAAAAATAAATGTATTTTAATATTTAGCAAGAAATTAATAAATACTGTTATAAGCTATAAAATAATAATTATCAAATTATTATTATTTTTTTTTTAGGGTATTAAGGTGATCTCTATAGCCAGAAACTTTTTATTAGATTATTAACTTCAGATTACAATTACAACAAAAGTACATTAAACCACACGTGTACTTTTGATACCTAATTTAAGTAGTCTGCCTGGGTTCTACACTAGCCACTATACCTGCAATCTAACTAGGAGACTACTTATTTAAACTTTCTAGTTATTTTACTAACAAGAGTACAACTAGCCATACCTGCAACTTTTGGTTGTCTATTTAAGTAGTCTGCTCTAGATTCTACACTAGCTACTATACCTGCACCCCAACTATGAGGGATACCTATTTAAACTCTCTGGTTATAACTACCGTCCATTCATAATCTAACCAAGGTATAACTTATTATTCATTATATAGGTTTTGCGATACCTGTAGATTTTGTACTCATCTTAGAACTTACTAACCACTTTTGGCTAATCTATCTATAAAGTAAATCTAACAGAATAGTTTATATCTTACACATGTTTTTACCTGCATATTCAGTAATTTCTTTCTAACTAGTATCTGTTGTGCTGCTATTACCAAGTTTGTATCTCAAGCTATCCTTTAGAATACTACTATAACCTGATCTATGTCTCAAGCTACAACTTTTCTAATTAGTTTTCTACTATGTACTCCTTGTTTTTGTAAAATTCACACAACTCTAGCAT